CCGATTGTACATTTTTGTAACTTGTAAAGGGAAAGGTTGTAAACTTTTCATAAACGCACCTGAATAGGTTATACAATTAATTAACATAGTGAAGTGTTAAGACAAACAAAAGACAGGTGACTTGTTGAAATATCTAGATGGCAGGAACAAGTAGTCCAGATATTCAAGCAGACCACCTTAATCTCCCCAGTACTGATCGCATTCTATCCGTCAAGTTTTGATGTAATTACTTGCCTGAAAGAACTCGGGATTGTTTACTGCGTTGTAAAACTCTCTGATTGGAATTATTTGTCGAGAAAGCTTAACCGTGGTCATTAGACTGCTATCAGTACAAAGGATTCCAAAAATGTTATTCACTATTATGTAATCAACTAACTGTCAGTATTTCAGTACTATAGAAAATCATTTGCGGTTTTAATAGTTCAGTGGTAATGTTTCAAACCGTAAAACCAGAAGATATGGCTTTAAATCACTCAAGAAGCTTTAGTTTCCTTGAGGTTACAGGTATGCCTAACTGACGAGTGTCAGTCCAGAAGTTATTGATTATTTGGTTGCGACACTTGGCTGTTTATATTCTGATGGTGCTCACATTTGAGCAGATCAGTTGACAGATATCTAAATATTAGTTATACAGATTTGAGCAATAGATAGAATAAAGGTTATTTGTATACAATAGTCTATGTTTAAGCATGAAACAATTTCATCGTCTCCTTTGCGTTGAGTCGAATAACATACACATTCGGAATGTTCAGTAGAAATGAATTCAGTTACCAGGAAATACGACAGTATTTACAGCCGGTAGTTAATATAGTAACTCCGCCTGCAGCTCCTGCAGAGTTAGTGCCGGTCCCAAGCCCGGGAAAGGAGGAGGGTTGGGCATGGGGTTAGCGTCCCCATCTCGTAGAAAACTAACTCGCTAAAAAAACGCTTACCAGAAAAAAATCACTCAAACCATTTAAACTCTGCCCTGAATGTTAGAAGGTCTTCATTTAGAAGAATTATGATGCTTCATGGTGATAGCCGAGTTCCTTCGGGAGCCACGAGGCCAATGTCCCTTCTAACAACCAGAGCAAAAATTTTTATAGGTACATGGAACGTCCGAACAATTTATAAATAGCTGTCTACGCAAAATACTCAACTCCCATTGGCCGGATACCATCAGCAACAGCCTTCTGTGGGAGAGAACAAACCAGCTTCCAGCTGAAGAGGAAATTAGGAAAAGACGATGGAAATGGATAGGACATACACTACGCAAATCGTCAAACTGCATCACGAGGTAAGCCCTAACTTGAAATCCTGAAGTAAGGCGGGAAAGAGGAAGGCCAAAGAACATATTAAGTAAGTAAGTAAGTAAGTAAGTAAGTAAGTAAGTAAGTAAGTAAGTAAGTAAGTAAGTAAGTAAGTAAGTAAGTAAGTAAGTAAGTAAGTAAGTAAGTAAGTAAGTAAGTAAGTAAGTAAGTAAGTAAGTAAGTAAGTAAGTAAGTAAGTAAGTAAGTAAGTAAGTAAGTAAGTAAGTAAGTAAGTAAGTAAGTAAGTAAGTAAGTAAGTAAGTAAGTAAGTAAGTAAGTAAGTAAGTAAGTAAGTAAGTAAGTAAGTAAGTAAGTAAGTAAGTAAGTAAGTAAGTAAGTAAGTAAGTAAGTAAGTAAGTAAGTAAGTAAGTAAGTAAGTAAGTAAGTAAGTAAGTAAGTAAGTAAGTAAGTAAGTAAGTAAGTAAGTAAGTAAGTAAGTAAGTAAGTAAGTAAGTAAGTAAGTAAGTAAGTAAGTAAGTAAGTAAGTAAGTAAGTAAGTAAGTAAGTAAGTAAGTAAGTAAGTAAGTAAGTAAGTAAGTAAGTAAGTAAGTAAGTAAGTAAGTAAGTAAGTAAGTAAGTAAGTAAGTAAGTAAGTAAGTAAGTAAGTAAGTAAGTAAGTAAGTAAGTAAGTAAGTAAGTAAGTAAGTAAGTAAGTAAGTAAGTAAGTAAACATAGTATCGATGAAAAATGAAAGCAGTTGTCATTCACTTGTTAACAATCAACTTGACGTCATACGTAACACACTGGTAAAAGTTGTCTTTATATTGCTGAATGGTTTATATGAATTTGATGATATTTTTGTGGTAATCAGTCTCACAGTTATAGTTATTATTGGATAGTGATTAGAATGTGGTTAGTAGTACAGTTCATTACGCACTTTTCATCCTATTTGAGACTCGTTAGTTAGATGTTCTTGTTCTCCGTTGTTGATACATCAATAATCCACTCGAGTACCTTTTGATTGAAGGGATAAATACATCCAAATGTGAACACCATTGCACCGTGAATTCCAATCCAAGTCGCAATTCAACTTTATTATAAGTTGTAACTAAACAGGAATTTCTAAGCAATTTGTGTCAGGATCCACATATATCAATAGAGATTGATCTGAATCAGCCCTTATTACCAACAATAAACTTAAACATGAAAACGGATCTTCACTGATAACACTCATTGTAAATCGCACCCCTAGAACTAAATATTAGCTTGCTCATTAGTCAGTCCGATTATTTAAATATGTATATGTATGTATTCGGATTATAAAGACCACATCTGAGGAGAATCACGGAGTACAATGGACAACTCGGAATCAACTAGACGATTTGGACTTCGTGGATGACCTAGCACTTCTATCTCATAAACACCAATAAATCCAGGTTAAAACAACCAGTGTAGCAGCAGTCTCTTTAGCAGTAGGCGTCAACATATACAAGGGAAAAACCAAGGTCCTCACATACAATATAGAGAACACAAACGCAATCGCACATTATGGAGAAACTCTAGAAGATGTGGAAGCTCTCACGTACCTGGTCAGCATCATCGATGAACAAGGAGGGTCAGATGTAGACGTAAAGGCGAGGATTGGTAAAGCAACGTCAGCACTCCTGCAACTGAAGAACATACGGAAGACAAAACAACGGTCAGAAAACATCAAAGTCAGAATTTTCAATACTAATTTTAAAACATTTCGATTGTAGGGAGTTGAAACTTGGTGAACCTGGTGAACCATCACCAAGGATGTACAAGTATTTAAAACAATTGTCTACGCATGATACTTCAGATTCGTTGGACGGATAATATCAGTAACAACATATTATGGAAGAGAACAAACCAATCTCCAATTAAAGAGGACACTAAGAAAAGACGTTGGAGGTGGATAAAAAATACACTGTGGAAACCACCAAACTGAATCATGAAGCAAGCATTAATTAGGAATCCTGAAAGTAAAAATAAAAGAGGCAGATCAAAAGACACAGTGTGTCAGGAATTGGAGGTAGACATCGAAAGAATGAATAGTATTTGTCAACAACTGGAAAGGATTTTCCGGGACAGAGTTGGATGGAGAATGGTCAGACTATTTTCCTACACGAGGGGTAACAGGTGTAAGTATGTATGCATATATTCTGTGATCCTAAACATTATAGACAATCTGATTTAATTTTACTTGAAGATACCACAATTTTCTATCTAATATAACTACACATTGTGATAAATGCCTACAATAAATAATAATATAATTAACTAATACTAGATAATTTCACTTGTTGAAATCATGAGTCAATTGAAGCTAAACCACCATGGAAAACCTGGAAGCACTGGACGGTCATTTCGTCCTAGTATGGGACTCCTCCACGTTCTCGCACCCCACGAGATTCGAACCCGGGACCTATCAGTCTCGCGCCAGGTGCTTAACCATACCAGATAAATTATTGTATTTATTCTTCTATATCAAAGTAACCATTCCCCCCCCCGCACGCACACACATCTATAAATATTCACTTCGTCTATTTATGCTGAATAATTTAACTAGCCAATAGGATTTTAGTTCATATGTCTGTCCATATTATCAAATAAACTCATGTTGTCTTGACAACACACACTTCCCTTGTCACATTCATCAATATTATTATCATAATTATATCATGTCTATTAAAAAAAATACTAGTTGTTATTATCACTATGACTTTGATAATACAATACATGAAGAAAAAAACAGAAAGATATCAACATATGTACACGAACACACATTACGCATACATATATATCGTATGTATGTATGTGTGTGTTTAAGTATACAAGTAAATGTATCAGTGATGTATTATCAATTGCATAATCTTTATCTTATCGCAAACCAATTGAGATAGGGGGAATCTATAGTTAAGTGTTATGATATCTTCAATATCCCTCTACATAAACCATATTCCCACATATTTACACATACATAAATACATCCCAATGTGAACCAATGTTGAACCATTCAACAATCTCAACTTGTTAAGTTACGTAATCACTTCGTTTTTTTATATTTATTTTACGGGTTTAGAAGAATGTTATATCGTAAATATTATTATTATTATTATAACCGGTATTATTTTGTGCTCCAGAGTTCATTTTCTAAACATATTCACTATAGTATGAACTGGAAAACATCTAACTTATTACACATACAAATGATGAATCAAGTAATACAACCGAATGAGAGATAAAAAGCAAAAGAAGATAAGAAATTCAAAGAAACAAACACCAGGATAAATACTAAAGATAAGAAAAATCTAAATGATAAGGAAAAAGTATTTTATAAAGAAAAAAACTCAAATATGAACAAACAATAACAGAATCAAAACAATATTTGAGAGAATAATAATAATACGAAGAAGAAGAACAAGAAGAAGTACATGTTATAACAAAACATTTTGTCTGTGTTCTTGTGAAAGATACGATATGCAAGCTATTACACCTACGTATGTACGTACGCACATACACATATTCGTTTGTGTGCCATTTTAAATACACCTACATATAACATACACACACGTGCAGGGGGTAAAAAATTGTTGTTGAACAACTTATGACACACATTTTGTTATCTATTCGTGTGTATTGTATATGTACACGTGTGTCCATGTGTGTAAAGTGGTGCAAGTTTTATACACATACATAAAATATTATTATTTTCAAAGAATAATTTTTCTTATTAGCTGGAGGCGACAAATTAAAATCACAGATTAAATACAACTGGGATAAATATTCTGCCTATCTATCTATCTATCTCTCTCTATATATACCATACTAATATTACTAAACCATAGTGATTACAATGATGATACAATTGATAGGGATACTAATTATATTCTGATTAATAATGAAAAAAGAATTCATGATATAATAATGGATCATAATACAATATTTGCATTACAATCTACTCCATCTATTGTTAATATTAATAAATTTAGTCAATATAATTCAAGACTAATAAAACTGGTTATAAACGGATTAGACCAATGTGTAATGAAATGAATTTGAAGAAAATGAATCGTATTGACAATGATGATAATGATGATTCTATGGAACATCAAACGATTAATATTCCAAATAATAATATACAACAACAACATCATGAAGAACAAGATGTCATTACACATCAATCTGTACTACATCGAAGTTTAGCTGAATGTTTAAAACGTTTATGTAATGAAATACAAAGTAATCATTTTCTACCAATTACAATGAATGCATCACTTAATACTGATACAATTAATTCAATTCATAATGATTATTCAACTTGTATAACTACACCTATCACTATTCCTACTACTAATATCAATACTACTAATACTAGTGTTTCAATGTATCCAACTCAAGCATTAGACTTGAGTATAACATCGAATATTACATTAAATGAAAGTATATCCAATGATTCATTGAATATAACTAATACATTCAATAAGAGTTTATCACCTTCACCAACATTATCTTCATACTATTCATTAAATAATAATAATAATAACTTTATTGCACTCACCTTGTCTTCCTCATCTTCTGATTCATCTACTTCATTGATGTCATCATTTTCAAATAATACTATGCCACAACAAGAACAACAAGAACAAAGAAACACAGTTAGTTTGACAAATATCACCAATCAAACTGATTCACTTATAAATAGTTTAAATTATGACACTTCTAATAATATTAATACTAATGTTAGTAGTAGTAATGATAATCATAGTCAACAACAAACTATTCACTACGATTCTCCGAATATTATCAATACCGGTAAGTATTGTGGTATTCCAAGTGTACTGGCAACTACTCATAGTCTTAGGAACAGTAATAATAATAATAATGATAATAATAATAATAAATTATTGAACATTCGACCGAACGATAATATTACTAGTAAGTAGTTCCACCATTATTACTATTATTATTATTGTTATTATTATTATTATCATTACTAACATCATATCACTTTCTATTATATAAAAAGAATAAATAGTTTGTTTTGGTGGCGTTTTGTTCTGTGTGCTATGTGGCTTATTTCGGATGCTTCCATCGTGCTTCCGAAGTGAGGTGAACTGTGTGAATATCTCCATACATGACTAAAATCTTAATTTATCTAAATTGATTCCGTATATAATTCCGGTTGAATTGAAAGGGTAGCTTAGTGGCCGAAGAGTTAAGTTTTCAACCATTAGTTAACTGGTTCGAGTCCCGCTCCCTTGATACTGATTCCTGCAGATAGATAAGAATTTTGATGGTTTTACATGACAGATCGATTTTCTTTAGAGAATTACTGGAAAATGGAAAATATTTAACAGTTGTTTCATTATAATATGGGACACCTACTGATAACGATGCTTAAATGTCTTTGGCTAAATATCTAAGTAGTTGTTGTAGATATACACTACTGAGGAGTCCTACTCTAGGATGAAAGAACTGTTTAATATTTCCCGGTTCCCGATAGTCGTCCAACTAGAAGCATTTCATACTGCAAAGACGATGAATTGATTATTAATCACGTCCATACTAGAAATTGATGTATAAATTCAGATTTAATTTTACTTATATTTTTCATAAGATATTCTTGTCCGGAAATATCGAAATTCTTGTACAAACCACACGACTCAATAGTTCTAATGAGTTGTTTTGAAAATTTTTTCACTTAGTACTAAATTGAAATTGAGCGGTTTATTCTTCAAGGGAATTTAAACAGCATACACAATGCCAAGTTCAAACATTAATATATATTTTTTAAAATTCTCGATTCTCCGTAAAATAGTTGCCTCCAAATCCTCCGGTACGGCCGAGGATTGAGAGAGTTAGCTCTCTTTCTCGAAATGCTCTCAAGTGGCTACGCGTATACGGCCACTGTCAGTGATGTCCTACTCACCAGCTTCTCTTGGCATTATGGTTTTTTACGAAATTGAGAGGAAGAAAGGCAAATGTTTGACACTTTAATCGGGTTGGTGAACACGGAGGATCCACCTGTGGGAATTGGAAAATCCTCATTCCAAACCAGTGATGCACATGGACTCCAGGATCCTGAAGGAACAATTGGTGTGTGAACCAACTTTTGGTCACTGGCTACCATGGGATTGCATCTCCTAATGTTGCACCTTGTGTATAAGACCCTTAGGTTAAAGGCTCCGTGTGTGGCCCCGTAATAGAACCATCTGCTTTGGTCTGGGCACCCGGGTAGCATCACAGCCCACACACAAACCAAGTAACTTGTGTGGAGCATATGTATTCGATGCCTCTTTGTACCAACATTTATGTGTTCAAATGAATAAATAAATAAAATAGGTTCTTAATAATTGATAATATTTCTAGAAATTATTACCTATTTACATTTAAATTTGAAAATTGACTAGTTACAATTTAATATCAGAAAGGGGTTTTTGTGAAAATCTTTAATAATTTCAATAGTTGAGATCATGAGCCAATTGAAGCCAAATCATCGTGGAAAACCTGAAAGCATTGAACGGTTGTTTCATCCTATCGTGAAACTCATCAGCAATGCGGATTCAATTTATTATCTTTTTTCATGGGATTAAAAAAAGCTGTGTGGATCATTATTGGTTAGGATTTGAAATGTCCCATAACTGCTACTCATTGGTGAATGACTTTGATTCCAAGGGCAAACATTAACACTAGGATGCAGGTACACCCAATATAATAATCTCAAATAAGATGAAACATTTGTCAACAGAAACAAATTGAAATTCAGTTCTGAATATAAAAAACAACCTCAAATTCTTTTCCTCTTAAAATGAATGCAGTCAGTTAGTCATATGCAATGTAGAATCTGGTACGTGTACATCAATTAAAGTTTCCACATATCATTAGCACAACAAGGTGAAACTGACAGGACAAACCTAAGATTAGTAGAAGTGATTATTTTTATTATTTATTGAAACACATAAACATTAGTACAAGGAGACACCAAATACATATGCGCCACATAAATCATTCCATTTATGTGAGGGCTGTAATACTGCACGAGTGCCCAAACCGAAGCAGGCAGTTTTCTTAGGGGGCCACACACGGAGTCTTTAACCTAAACGTCTAATCCACAAGGCAGTGGAGCAACGTCAGGAGATACATTTCCATGGTAGCCGTTCACCAACAATCGGTTCATACGCCATTTGTTCCTCTTGAATACTGGAGCCCATGTGGACCATTGGTTTGGAATGAGGGTTTTCCAACCCCTAGGTGGACTCTTCACGTCTACCAACCCTGTTAAAACGCCGGACATTCGCTTTTCGTCTCCTCAATTCCGTAAAAATATCCCCACCACAAGAGGGCAGTGGGTAGGACTTTCCTGGCATTGGCCGTATACACGTGGCCATGTGAGAGCATTTCGAGAAGGAGATCTAACTCTCTCAACCCTCGGCCGCACCAGGACATCTGGGGGTATACTTTGAGGGAGAGAACAGTATTAGTGATATTGAAAAAATTGGATATTGAAGATACAATTTGGAGAACAGAATATTGGATTAGTGTAATAAAACGAATCATTAAAAACCTCAAGATTTAAGGGAAGACATACAGTGAATATAATTAAATCACTGTGAATGATTTCGTACCATACCATATACTGAAAAGAAGTTCAACACTCGGAACGAAATAACATTTAGTGTTTTTTGGTTATTTTTCGAAAAAATGTTTCTAGCCAATGTATAGTCATATTGAAAATTACTTTTAACAAAAAAAATAAAACTGTTTTTTAGTGGACACATTTCGTCTAAACACAATGTAGACCTCAATTAGTAGAATGTTCAAGTGATAACCTTACAACAGTAAAATGTGATAGAGAAGGTGTATAGATTAAATGAAGACTTTTGGTGTTGTTAAGCTCTCTAAGCTAAATAGTATAATTGTGAAGCTATTTTTTGTCGTCCTGAACTATATTATCACAACTCACCTGATATAGAAGTGAGCTTTTTAGTTATTCAATGATTCTTAAATATCAGTTATGTTCTGATGGCTTTGTTTCCGATTGGTTGCTGTAGACTCACTTGTCATACATTTTCTTTGAATTCAAGTTGACTGCCTTGTTCATTTGACCTCGAAATGTGTTGTTGATTTTTTCCCCCGAATAATTTGATAGATGAGGTGTAATTCAATATGTCTACTGATTACTGATTGATTTGAATGCCATGTATCCGGAAAGTTTTTGGTATTTCGAGAATCTACATTATCTAGAATTGTAACGATTTCCCAGTTGAATTTATAGTTATAGACAATGTAGAACCTGGTACACGCATACATAGATTCAACTTGCTACATACCAATAATTTACATAATCACTCGGGCTCTGAACAAGTAGTCCGCATCTACCTACATGACTCAGTCCAACATTCGGTATCTTCATGGACTGATGTTACGTCTTGGTTTGACCATCCTCTAGATCTCTTCCAGCGTACACCCAAACTAGGCATAATCGTGAGTCGAGATAAATGGTAGATAAGGACATGTAATATATGTCCCAATTATCTCAGTCGATGAAGGTTCACTACATCATCAGTCTATTTACCATCCTTACTTATTACTTTACGTTTAACATTATAACTGCTAACATGGTCGCCTACCTCCATTGATATCTATAAGATAACACATTGTGCTTGTGATTTTGTTCAGAACGACACCCAAAGTGTCTAGCTCAGATAACTCAATCAATTCTAAGATATACTAATGATGCTGTAGCTTAAGTTTTATTCATGACTTTTATGTCATTGGTATTGTCATCATCATGATTAGTATCAGTGATGAAATCATTTGCTAGCAAAAAATTATTACTTCGGTTTGGGCACCCGGACAGTATTCCAGCCCTCACACAAATCGAATGATGAAATGTGGCATATATATATATATATATATATATATATATATATATATATATATATATATATATATATATATGGTGCCTCTCGTACCAGTGTTTATATGTTTAAATAATAATAACAATAATACTATCTATAAAATACACATATAGTCTTTTGAAATATATTTACCTATTCATATGTATATACAAACGTGGATACAATGGAACAATATAAGCATTCGGAATCTTCTTGTCTTATTAAGCATATTTAAAGAACCTACTTCTGATTCGATCTTTTATTTGACGTTATGACTCGAGTACGTCTTAGTTATTAAGTGAGGGTTGTGTGAAAGAATTGAAAAACCCATAGAAAATAATCGTTCTAAGATTATTTTTTCCATGGTTTACCCCACAGATTGATCTAAGTTAGGCAAACATTGTAAACCAAGAGGCATTAAACGGCTGTGTCTTCTTTGTGTCAGTTGGTGAAGCCAGTAGGGTCTTGTGGAGAAGAATAGTACTTGAATGCATCACACAACTAGATGGGCGTAAAAATTGTTTCTACAATTGAATTTGTTGTTTTTGATCAATCTACTCATAGTATGAGACTTCCCATAAGTGCACAATCAGTTCCTCACTAAGAAGCAAGCTCAGTACTTTCATATCTCATGACGAGGCCTAATCTTTAAATCATTGAACTGGCATCCGATGGTGTACATGTCTAACTCTAATCAGTTAGCGATATTGCTTGATCATCTTTCATTCACTGTAATGGATAACTGGTTCACATCACGGTTGAATGGCAGCCTGTACAAACCCCTATAGTATTCATAACCCTGAAGTAATGAGATTTATTGGCATCTGGACTCAATAGCTCAATGGCGGATAACACATTGGTGTTTAAGGTGAAAGGTACTAGGTTCATATCTAAGTATGAACATCAACTTCGGGATGCAAGTATATCTAATTATTGAGTCTCAAATAGAATGAAACATGTGTCCCGGATTCCACTAATGGTTACAGTCTATTTTCAATTCCTTATGACGAAATGGTGACATTGAACGTATCAGCACGGGATTCACAAATTCCAACGAAAACCGATCAGAACTCAGTTTTAAATGCCAATAATAGTTTAATCTAAACCCTTATTAATAATTATGTGAACATTTTTTTAAAAAAGCGTTGGAAAATAGTTCCTCGTTACTTGAAGAGTAACACAATTCTAAGGAAACATCGCAATCTATGAGATTAATTGTCTCAGCTTAAGTAGTTATTCAATAAGAGTAAAATGAATAACACATTCACATTATATCATATATGATAGTTGAAGTTAGAAAATATATTCATTCCATCGGTTGCCTACTAAGTAGTTATTCACATTTTCTTAGTTTCGTAATAATTCCACAATTAACGTTAGTCAATCAGTGATGATAACTAACTTTAAAAGTGGAATGCTCGAGCTTACTTTCAGTGCCTATCAAATTCTAACCACTAGGGATGTTAAAACTTCATCAGTAAATATTGTCCATTCATGGCTTTAATAACGCTATAATTTCATAGCTTTACATCACGAACCGATTTTATTTAGATCACTACTGAAAACCAGAAAAGATTCGACAGTTATTTAGTTCTAGTGTGGAACTCCTCCACAATGTGCGTCTATAACCTGACTAGGAACCAAAATAAGGATCTTCAAGTCTTGTAGAGAGTTTAATTCTTAGACGATTCAATCATTATTTGGTCGCTCTAACCAAAATCGATTTTTTGATGTAAACTTTGGAACTCAACCATTTTCACATACCCTTTAAATTTACATTATAATTATTGTAATGATTGCAAAATAATCTAATAAAATCATGAACTGATCTATGTTAGACCGCTATTGAAATCATATAGGCACTGAACGGCTGTTTCATCCTAGTATGGGACTCCCCAGAAATAAGTATACACGACCCCGAATGTTAAAATCGAACTTAAGACCTTAGGTATGGCACGTGAACGTTTAATCTCTCAACTACGGAGTCGGGATCCAACGGTATTAATGTTTAAATTCGATTGGTTCATGAAATTGTGCAACCATCTTCTATTGCTTATGGTGGTTAACTGCCTCATACCCGATATGGTTTAACTCCACTGTTCACGGCTTTTTGTAAGGATTCTGGAACTTGCCTCTCGAAGCCAGTCACAATTAAACACCTACCAGGGACACTGGAAGATGGTTGAGTGATGTCATAAATAGATCGGAATTAGAAATGAACGCTGTTGGATGTCTGACCAGTGGTCTAAAAGTTAGGCGTTTGTGCACGAGACTGAGGGTCCTAGGTTCTTCTCTCACGTGAGAGGTCGTGTATGTACACTACTGCAGAGCCTCGTATTAAAACGAAACGACTTTTCAATGTTCCCAGATTTTCAATAGTAGTCAGTTTATGATTTCAATGAAATTCAACAATCTCCACAACATTCTGCCAACAAAATAATTGGTTACCGCCGAATAAGTAATAATAAATGTACAGCGAATAATATTGATGGATAAAATATCAATGAAACATTCTGTTTTAGCTAACATAAAACATTTTAAATGTTGAGACTGATTAATTGGCTGATAATTATTTGGACCGATGGGTATATTTTTTTAAGGAAAGGAATTGCATATGAGTTACGTAGCCAATTATGTATAGAACTTTCAAGGTACGTACACACAAATCTTTAATTATAAAATGTTAATTTTGCATGGTTATGTATGACTATTTGAAGTTCAACATGAAAACAGCAGTTTAAAACGAACAAAATCTCCCCAACTGATAAATCACTAGGTAGTAACCATTATCATATTCATCTAATCGATTAAGTTTCTTTGTGACCACTTATCTAAGAGACACAAAATAGGTAGAAATTAATCAGGACTAGGTAAATACAATACTAGGGACTACTCAGCAATCAATCAAATATAAATATCTCGGTTTATTCATTTATTTATTTGAACACATAAATATTGGTACAAGAGGGCAACGAATATATATGCCCCACAATCTTGTGTGAGGGCTGTGATACTGCCCGGGTGCCCAAACCGAAGCAGGTGGTTTTCTTAGGCGGCCACATCCCGAGCCTTTGACCTAAAGTTCTAACTCACAAGGCAGTGGGGCATCGTAAGGAGATGCAGTTCCATGGTAGCCGGTGACCAAGAATTGGTTCATACGCCATTTGTTCCCGCAGGATACTGGAGCCCATGTGCACCATTGATTTGGTTTAGGATCCGGTTAAAGCGCCGGACATTCTCTTTTCGTCCTCTTATTTTCATAAACAACACCCCTGGTGTGAGAAGGCAGTGAGTAGGAATTCCCTGGCAGAGGCTGTATACGCGTGGCCGTGTGAGAGCATTTCGAGAGGGAGGGCGGGCCCACCCCACTCTCGGCCATACCAGGGCATTTGGGGGCTTACCGTCACTACTTTTCTTTTTTCTTCGATATGTTTCATTTTTTTAGTCAAAACTAATGATATTAATAATCATTAATGTTATTCTTTTTCCTTATATATTTTAGCTCAAACATTATTATTTCCTGGCCTTACTCCAACAATTTTTAATTTACCTTCATGTTTAACTTGTACAAATACATTAACACCAATCAAATCAGTAACGGATCAATTAATCAATGAAAAAGGTGAACAAGACGAAATAAAAGAAGAACTTTTTACAAAGATTACTAAACCAACTTATTTACATCAAAATGAATTGAGTAATAATACTACTACTAATAATACTACTAATAATAGTAATATTAATAATAATCCACCGGCTATTATAAATAACATATTAAATCCAACTGAATTAATTTTAAATTATGCAACAAATTATTATTTACATGGAAATCATCAATCATACAATAATAAATGTTTGACAGAAGAAGATATTATTGAAGGAGAAGAAGGGGAGGATATGAAAAAAGATGAAATTTCTACATGTACTAGTCCTGATGAAACAATATTAAAAGAATTCGATAATGAACTGTCTTCAAAACGTATTGGTACGTCAGTAATTGGAATTTTTTGATTGAGATCATGAACCGATTGATGTTAGACCACCTTTGGAAACCTGGAAGCACTGAACGGCCGTTTCATCTTATTGGAGGAACTCCTCAGCAGTGCGCAACCACGATCCCGCTCACGGGATTCGAACCCAGGGCCTTCAGTTTCGTGCGCGAACGGTTAACCTACTGGACCACTGAGCCGGCATCCAATGGTGTTAATGTCTAACATCAAGCAATTCACGAAATTGCGCGACCAACTTCCATTGTTCTGAGGTAGATACCTGTCTCTACCCGACATGGATTAGCTCCACTGGTCACGGCTTCTCACTAGAACTCCGAGAATTCCCTCACGAAGCTAGTCACTAGTGAGCACATGTTAATTACTAGTATAGGGGAATTTTTCTTAAAGTATATTATGGTCGTGTAACGTAACAACGGTCTATGCTTGTCGAGGAGTAACAGGCGTAAGTAATTAATAACGTAACAAAAAGCTGTTTGATTGAATGAAGTAGGATTCAGATTTGATGAAAGGTATCAGTTCCGTCAGGATTACAGATATATTTAAGTAAGAAGTGTCAAGTGACATGAAACATAAGCTTACTCTTTTCTTACAACCATCTACAACAACCTAACATAGATGGTCTGTTAATTTAAATTCATTTTTATGTTGGTTTTTTGAATCTCCGTATTGATGTTTAGGACTACAATTGATCAGCCTGTCTTTCGCATATGTGTATCCTGTGAGGATTAACTCGATATTATTATTAAGTCACAAGTATTTTAAGCAGAGATGGATGATGGTTAGGAAAATAAAATGATAATAGTAATAATAATGACATATATGTTACATCACATAAGCAGCGTATTTTAAATATCTTCGTATAGTATTCAATATGTCTAAAATCATGGGCAAAAATCTGGGTTTCCTTTGTTTGTTTTACAAGGAAAATCAGTGTTAAACATGTCAAATGCAGACTTTTTTGTTCCATTTAAATTGTATCAGGAATCAACATCTGAATGAGGTTCATTCTTTTCAATTTAATATTGACAGCCACCATAGAGTTGTACTGTTTTGCAACTTTTACAAAAAAAAGTTCATAAACTTTTCATAAGCGCTTGAAATAGATTATGAGATTAACAGACATAATGATGCGTTAAAATAAACAAAATAAACAGAAAACTTATTGAACTATCTAGATGTTAAGAATAGGTAGCCCATATATTCAAACAGGTCTCATATCATTTCTATCTTATCAACCCATTTCACTTACTGTACAATGAATTTATTCATGAAGATTCTGTAGATGATTAATGTGAATGATTTACCGTAGAAACATTATAGCATTGGGACGTATTTAGAAAGAAAAGCCTTTTGCTTTAGATTATGTTGTGTGGAAATATTTCCACAATGTTTATATTAGAACATTATCAATAAACCTTGTCTAACTAATAAATCACCTGAAACGATTATATTCCAATAGGTTTCATTACATTTTGATTGAAAATCATCTTCAAGATCATAAGATTAATTCAATATCACTTTTGGCTTATTCTTATATGTAGAAGTTAAGTGTCAAGAGTTTAATGTAAACAACAAAATGACTTATAATTCGGAAAACAGCTAAGAATCTCAGAGTTGTTTGTTACATAATTTTACAGGGTTGATATATAAGAATAGAATAGAGAAAGTGTACAGTACAAATGTTTGAAATTAAGTATAAATGAATGAGTTTGATAAAGTAATAACATATTTTTGATATGGAGAGCCAATCAGAAGTGGCCTAATGAGAAGACCAGTCGATGACAATCAGAAGTGACCTAAAAGATTAGGGCGTTTCATTGTCTAAGAAAGGGATCAATTTCCTAAGGATTAAAGTAGCATATATATGAATGAGTATTTGCACATTTTATTCGATAAAACAATATACTTTCTGGCTCACTTTTGTGTTGTCGCTCGATTAGTAAATAAGGGGAGAGTTAGAGCGTAGCATTTCAGACACCGCTCATCACAACAGTTCTACTTCCTGACTTTCTATAGACAGATATCTGGTATTGTGGCATTTTTATGAACCATGTTCGAGCTTGTATATTCGGATTCATTCTAAACTTATTCCTGAAAACGAATAGGACAATAAAGCTTATGATTTAGTGTGCTATTTACTTTCAATCATTAAATACCTGTTAACCTGAGCTAATCAAATATAAGTAAGAGATGCTGACGAGTACACGCTATTGCTCAAGATTTTGCTTAACTTTCTGAGGTGACATCTATATTCCGTTATTTGGAAATGTAGCTTAGTTTATTTAAGGGGCGTAAACCTTTATTTCTAAATGAGTATATACTCATTTTTTTGTTTCGGGTCAGTTAATAAAAGCTTCCTACTAATTATTAGTTTCCTCACTCAAGTAGTAAGTTTAAATTGTGTATAAGAAGTGGATTTACCAGTAGCAGATTCAAATGACCTCAGGACGTAACGACACCATAGACAAATCTCTTCTCATCGTCTTCGATTTAAACATCCCCTCATAAAACAAGTGTACCTTACCTCCAAGTACATAAAATTATAATCGATTTTTAGGTTACAACTAACTTTTGTGAATTTTCAAACAATCAAACCTATTCTTCATTGCGTGGAAGACTTCCAAAGTATTTTTCTTATCACCTTTGATTTTACAAGTTTATGTTACAACTTAAATATTCAACAATCTACACAATCACATTGTATTAATATTCCATCTTTATTTAGTTTAATTCAGCTATTTGTCTAAGCTTCTGGAATATGCTATTCCCCCTTGAAACAAATAAGGGAATTAAATTCACTTGGTATTGTTTACTTGTATCTCCCCACTGATGTTTAGCACTGCAATTGATCAGTCTGTTATTGGCATATCTGCATACTGTGCGTATCGCCTCGATATTGCCTGAAGTCACAAGTATTATAAGCGAAAATGGATAGTGGCTAGCAGTGGAATTCAGGACGCGTGTTTCGTTTTATTTGAGACTCGTCAGCTGAATGTACCTTCATCTCAGAATGGATGTTCAATTATGGGACTCGAACCCAGTACTATTTGCTTCAAACGTCATCGTGTTATCCGCTTGCATAATTCTAATAGTTACTCCACTAATTTTCATCTACTGCTTTAAAAAAATACTTATTTTCATTTATTATTTTTTCTATCTCAGATTCATCTGACATGGAACAATTAGACTTAAAAACAACTTCATTATGGTTAACAGAATCCGATATACATTCTATACCAAATCTAGTTGAATCCATCAAAAAATACCATTCAAATGATGAGTGTGGTTTTGATGTATGCCGATCATCTAAATTGAGAGAACATTATCATTGTAGTATATGTAATAAGGTAAATTTAATAGTTAGTTTTAATATCAGAAAGGAAATTGTGTGAAGATTGTAGTAATTTACTGGTTGAGTTCATGAGTCGATTAAAGCTAGACTACAATATATGTAGTAACTTACTGTAGGCAATGTTGGACAATGGCGCAACTTCGTGGACTGGTTGAAGTTGGACATTAGCACTGTTGGATGACGACTCAGTGGCCTAGAGATTAGGCGTTTGCGCGCGAGACCTAAGGTCTTGGGATTGAGTGCGATGTGTGGGATCGTAGTTGAGCACTGCTGAAGAGTCCCATACTAGGGCGAAACGACCGTTGAGTGCTTCCACGTTTTCCATGATGGTCTAGCTTTAATCGACTCATGAATTCAACTATTAGATTAGTTTTAACATTGATTTGCATATTTATTCGTTATGAAAAACGTAATCTGTTCAGCAAAAAATAAGGAATACTAAATTGTTTAGTTCTTTGACAGAAGTTAGAAAAAAATGTCGAGAAATTCACAGAATATTAAAGGCGGTTTACACAGATAATACTTTGAAGGAAACAGTTCTTTTTTCAAGTTTTTCATTGTCTACAGTGAATAGTGAAATGGTGATGCAAGTCCAACACGATATAGTTGACGTTTTGTATATTGATAAGAATGTGGAACATACCAAGTCTCTTGAAAGTTGAAAAAGCTGACCCATTGTTCGGATGATTGTTAATAAAATGAATTTTGGAAAATCGTATGTGTACATGTTTCTAGTGACACATTTATATTCCAAAAAAATGGTAATTCAAAAATCGCGAAACAATAAGGTAGCTGGAATGTCTAAATTTTGGTTCCGTCAAAACAATGGAAATGTAGCTGAGGCAAGTAGGATGCTACAAATGTGGATTATCCTTGTTGTAACGGGTGGACTGCTGGTTATGATAAGCAGTGTATTTATTGATCGCTTCTGTGACACGTAAAACATGCAAGGACGACCTAGAGTCCCGATTGGTCCCGCTTCCCTGTCTAGCCCAGCCAGTTGAGTCTAGAACCCAAGTCACAGCCTCTGAGTTATGAATCATTATATTTCAGACATACTCTATTTATATACCAAACAAACAAACCACATAGTACCATAAAATAGAAAACAACATTTACACAATATTTAACGAGTGAAATAAATAATGGCCAATAGGGAATGCCCATTTAGAGTCCAAGGACATCATTAGACTTAACATGATAATGATTGGTATATTCCTCAGCATCCCTAACAATCTTGAAGAAGGAAAAAAGGAGAGTTGTACCATATGTTTTCCAACATAAATTTGTTTATTACTTCAGATTGAATGTTTATTAAACAGTTTCGACTTGTAGTCATGGGTTTTAAGTATATTTACACTTGTTTGTCTCGAAATTACTCAACTTTCTTTCCTTGGTAGGATAGTTATTGTAGACTGATAATGTGTCCGATACTAGGACGAAACAACCATCAAATGTTTAAAACGATGTTCGTCTACAAAGAAACAAGCTATCAACAAGTTAGATTAACCTCTAAATTAAAGTAGAATGACATACGAATCAGGAGATGAAATCTAGCTTTGTTCCCTAGATTATAATGAGAAATTGTGATCTTTTAAAATCCAACCATTTTGATAGTGATCAAATTAACTATCAATAAATCCAAATAACGACCTAACTAGATCATGAATTGAATGAATGTTAATCACTAGATTCGAACTTAGTAGTCTAAAGATGTTGAGTTTGTTACAAATCCTGATAGTCACGGAATCGATCTTTAGTGTGTTCATGACAGTATATTGCTAAGGAGTCCCATACTAAAATCGATCATATGTTTCATGCTTCTTAATTTCTAGTGGTACCCTTAATGATATCAATTCATGCAGTAAACCATTTACATTCTAGGGTTATCATCACACTGTATTGTAACCAAACGGTTTCCAAATTATTAAATTATTATTATTATTATTTTAAAAAAATGTTTAATGATACCTTCTGACCTTTAACAATTACTTTGTATAATAATAAAAAAACACTTTAGATTATTCTACGACGTGAAGAAATGATAAGACATGCTAAATGGCATAGAAAACGTGAAGAAAGTATGCAATATGGATTTATGCGTTATAGTCCATGTGATGATTGTACTGTTATTTCTTGTCCACATAATGGACGTCAAACACATTATCACTGTATGCAATCAAATTGTGACAAGGTAAGAATTATTATTATTGGTTTTTTTAATGTAAAAAAGTGATACAATTGATAGTTCTAATAATTTGGGGGGGGGAAGATCTTAACACTCTAGATTAGATCCCCGGTTCGGTTATGTATGCACAATGATAAAGAGTTTCATATTACAACGAAACAACAACCTAGTACTTTCCAATTTTTGATGTTTGCTTAAATAAACTAATTCTATGATATAAATTTACTGATTTCAACATTTTCCACGATCCTTTTACACTAATAACAAACTTATGCTCACTAATAGCTAATTTCGAAAGGTGACTACCGAATTTCGAGTGTTAAGCCTTGACTAGTGATATTCAGCTTTGTTGAGAGTAGGTTAATTACACACTAGTAGTTATTAATTAGAATTAGACGTATAAACCACTGTATACCGATACTCGATGGTCTAAAAGTTATGTACTCGCCATGAGATCCTTGCCTGATAGGATCATGGATATAGGTTGACAAAGGGTCCCAGTATTTCCTAGTTTTAACAATTGTCCATCTGAAATTAGTCTGTAATGTAGAACTATAAAATTTAACAATCTTCAATAATCTCCTCTCACCTTACTTTAAAGTTACTTATTTATTGGTTTGAAACAAACAAAACGAGCTATTGACTATGGGATACAATACTCGTATCAATAATTGTAGACCTTCGAAATTTAATATTGTTTTCTTTTTTGTTGTTGTTTGTTTTGAATTCTTGTTTTCCCCTATGAGTTATTTCTTGTTATTATCTAAATATTCCCCTCTTATTGTTTAATTAACATTCTCTCCGATCGTTTTGGCTGACGATAACAGTCAAAATTGTAACGACAATGTTGATGATGATGATTAGCTAGTCGAATAGAATGTGGTTTCTATTTCTGGCTTCATCTTTCTGTTATTATTATTATTATTCTCTCTGCTTGTAGTTTCACATATTCTTTCCTTCTCTCCTTGTTTGTCTTGGTTGCTTTCACGTATACCATTCTTTTCATTTTCTAATCCTGTCTTCTACTACCACACACACACACACATGAACAGATTCACATGTCTTACACCTAAAATTTTGATAATAATAATAATAATGTGCATTATTATTACTATTTTGTGTAAAATAAACACAAATTCCTTATGCCTAGTGTATATATGTCTGTTTTTTCGTGTGTGTGTGTGTGTGTGCGCGCGCATTCATCTGTGCGTCTGTCAATCGGGTCCTGTTGCTGGTATTAGTGATAATAATTATATTGTTAATGATGATGAAATTTGTGTCTGATTTCAATTCATATAGTGCTAACAATAAATTTCGGATAAATATATGACAACATATTTAATATGTGGTTACCAGTAGAGAGTTGAGGACATGGATTTGTCGTCTTATTTTAGACGTATTAACTGAATATACCTCTTACAGTTCAATGTTGATCTTCACAATGGAACCTGAACTTAATATCTTTAACTTCAAAGGTGTAACGCATTATTCACTAAGTAATTGAATTTAAATAATCGTCAACTTGTTCAAAATGTAGGAAGATATTCATAAGGGTTTGTAATTTCTGTTGTAACGGGTGTGCGACTGCAGGGTTTTGATAAGCAGCGTTTTATCGATCGCTCCTGTGATAGTGGACACGTAAACACGCAGTGGACGACCTAGAGCCCTGATTGGTTCCGCTTCGCAGTCTGTCCCAGCCAGTTGAGTCAGGAACACAAGTCACAGCCTCTGAGTTATGAATCATTGTATTTCAGACATACTCTATTTATATACCAAACAAATGAACCATATCGTACCATAAAATAGGGAACAACATTTACAAAATATTTAACAAGTGAAATAAACATCAACCAATAAGAAATGTACATTTAAGGTCCAAGGCCACCATAGACTTAACACGATAATTATTGGTATATTTTCCCGACTATCCTAACAATTTCCTTGAAGTTAATCTATTCTATGCGAATTAGCGTCATAAAGTATTATGCAACAAGTTTTAGTAAATTTGATATGTGACTATGAATAAAATCGACAAGATAGACTTTATATCATTCAGGAATGCAAAAGTAGATGTACCTCCATCCCAGTGTTTATGTTCAAACTGAAACTTCAATCTATTTAGTCATGAATAACATCAGAGACTAAATGTAACTATATAATCGTTAAATACAGAAATATATTGGATAATATTCATGCCTTAATGTATAATGTATAATTCTTTAATAGTGGTGTTTAAGGTGTTTAAGCCCATGTGCACCATTAATTTGGAGTCAGGGCTTTCCAACTCCCGCAGGTGGACTGTCCGTGTCCACCGACCCGGTTAAAGCGTCGGACATTCGCTTTTCTTCCTCTCGATTTCGTAAATAACACCCGTGCGGCGAGAAGGCAGTGAGTAGGACTTCTGTGGTAGTGGCTGTATGCACGTGGCCATGCGAGAGCGTTTCGAGAGGGAGAGTTGACTCTCCCCATTCTCAGCCATACCCGGGCATTTTGGGGCAAAGTTAATCACAGATGAACATCATATAGAATATCAATAAAAGCTATAAAGTACTTGTTATCTGTTTCATCCTAGTATAGGACTTTAATAGTACATAACATGAACTTAATAAGAACAGAACTCTGAACCTTCAGCTTTCGAAATGAACTCTTAGACTTCTTAATCCTCTAACTTCAACTAGCCTTGTTCAATATAACTTGTGTAAGCATTCAGACTATAAATCTTAAAATGAGAAGAATAAGCCAATGTGTGCTATTTTTACAATTTATATCTTAAGAAGTAGGGTTATTTTAGACGATAACTTGAAAAGGAAAAAGTCATTATTTCGAATTATACTACGATTCAAGCAAGTTTTTTTCTTATTTCAACCAATATTATATTAACTATCAGTATAGGGTCGTGAAGATTGTTTATTTTCAATTGACATCACAAATGAATAAATAATAAAACACTAATGAAGGCCTGGGAGCACTGGACGGCCATTTCGTCCAAATGTGGGACTCCTCAACAGTGCGCATCCACTATCCTGCACGTGGAACTCGAACTCAAGACATTCGGTCTCATGGGCGAACGCTTAAATCACATTAACTGAAGGAAAAGAGTTTGGTGGAAATCGTTGAATTCTATGGTCTACATCTCCAAAAAACTTTACGTTAAAAAACCATTGAAAATCGGAAAGCTATGGACAATTATTTCGTTCTAGTATGGAACTACTAATTAGTACACATTCACGAACTTCAAAACTTCATCTAACTAATGTTTAATTTTTATAGTATAAATCAAATGTTGATGTTAGTTAGACCACAATTGAAACTTGAAAGTACCGATCTCTTTCTAGTATACAATTCTCTAGTATTTACGAACCAAACCGAGAACGTTCAGCGAACACTCAAACTCTAGACCACTGACCTATGATGTACATGTTCAGTGCTTTCAAGTTTTTCTTCTCGATGACCTACTTAAAATAAAACTACAGATATTGTACAATTCCCACAAATCCTCCTATACTAATAATGGTGAATTGTTTTTTTTTTCCGTTTGATTTCCTTCTTTTTTTCCCCCAACTATAATCAATACGTTACAAATCTTTCAACTTACACTACAATCACTAATTTGTAGTAACAAATAAACAATTCATTAAAAAAACGTAGCAATTATGCGTCATATTACAGTAAAGTTAACCTGCGCCTCTGTATGTATGTATGTATGTATGTATGTGTGTGTGTGTGGGTGTATGCCCGGTGTTTCTTCATTTCCTTTCTTTAATATTCTTGTTGTACCAAGAGTTTACACTTTCGATTTAGGTATATTTGTTATCAAAAAAAACAAACAAGAAACTACTGTGATATCATCAGTGTTATATAAATGAAAAATTTAGAGGGAAGCAAAAGAGGTAAACAACCTATCGTTTTCTTTTTTTAGTGTTTACAGAATATTCTAAGCCAATCAGGAAGTGAATAAAATAGAGATATAGATTTGTTACATAATGTGTCAGTCAAATTTCTTCTTCTTCTTCTTTTACTTTATGTTACCATGCTCCTTGCATGATTTTCAAAGAAGAAAAAATCAACTTAGGTCAAAGGTTGTGTAGTAAACATTTTGTAAACATAAATTCAATTTAGGTAGGTAGGTAGGTGATTTTCATTAGGGTATTAGAAGAAAAGTTGTCCGATTGTATTTTATAGGAGTTTTATTATAAGAATAATATCATTTAGATTACTGATATGTAAGTTGAATGGCTCATCAGTCTCTGCATCAGTAGACCACAACATACGCAAAGGAAAAAAACAAGATCCTCATATGCAACACGGAGAACACTAATTCATTCACACTTACTGGCGAAACTTTGGAAGATGTGGAATCATTCACGTACACGGGAAGCATCATTGATGAACAAGAAGGATCGAATGCAGACGTGAAGGTGAGGATTGGCAAAGTAAGGGCAACATTCTTACAATTAAAGGACATATGGAACTCGAAACATTTGTCAACAAATATCAAAATCACAATCTTTACGAACGTCAAGACAGTCCTACTGTACGGATCTGAAACGTGGAGAACTACTAGAACCGTCATCAAAACAGTACAAATATTTACAAATAATTGTCTACACAAGATACTCAATGTTTATTGACCAGATATCATCAGCAACAGTCTTCTGTGGGAGATGACAGAAACAGCTTCCGGATGAAAAGGAAATTAGGAAAAGACATTGGAGGTGGATAGAACATATATTGTGGAGATCACCAAACTGCATCATGAGGCAAGCCCCAATTTGGAATCCTGAAGGGAAACGGAAAAATGGAAGGCCAAAGAACACATTACGTCGGGAAAAGGAAGCAGATATGAAAAGGATGAATAACAACTAGAAAGAGCTGGAAAGGATTCCCTAGGATAGGTTAGATGAAGAGTGCTGATGGGCGGCCTACGCTCCTCCACGAGGAGTAACAAGCGTAAGTAAGTTGGATGGTCCAGATTTCTCAAAATCAATTAAGTTACAATTGATCCG